ACGGTTATAACCTATTGATATTATGAGAAGATGTTAGATGACAAATCTTGAAAGTTTTTTTGAGAAACACAAATCTTGAAAGTTAAAAAGCAATTATATATGCCAAAAACTTGCTAAATAATTCGGAATAAGCATGTATCATCTACAACAGCAGCTTAATAAAATTCAATTGGAAGCATGAAATTGTCTAGATGGACCAATATATTTTATTGGGCTAGTCTACAGGCCCACTGATACAGCCCATCTTCATACACTTAGTGCAATTAGTATTATGTGCATCATGGTGCAACTAGAAATAGGTGCACCACGACTATACTTTTGAACATTTAGTAAAAAAAATTGAACATTTTACAAAAAATGAACATTTAGTAAAAAGAATATGAACACGTCACAAAATTTGAACATAAACATGCAATTTTATGTTCATATTTTATGAGGAAATGTTCATTTTGTATACATTAAATGTTCAGTTTATATTACAAAACTATTGAATTATTACGAGTTATTTCAAAATTTGTCTGACTCGTAATAATTCAAAATTTGCGATTGTTCAGATTTTTTTACTAAATGTTCAAAAAAATTTATTGTTCAATTTTTTTACTAAAAGTTCAAAATTATAGGCGTGGTGTATTGCGATTGTTCAAATTTTTTTTACTAAATGTTCAAAATTGTGATGTTCAGATTTTTTAACTAAATGTTCAAAATACTTGATTTTTCAGATTTCTTTTACTAAATGTTCAAAAGTATAGGCATGATGCATTGCAATTGTTCAGATTTTTTAACTAAATGTTCAAAATTTGCGATGTTCAAATGTTTTTACTACATGTTCAAAATTTGCAATTGTTCAGATTTTTTTACTGATTATTCAAAAGTATAGGCGTGGTGCACCTAGAAATAGGTGCACCATGGTGCATCTTAAAATTTGCGCACTTTGTGACTTAAATCACTCTGAAGTCTCAACTTTCAATAGGCCCAAAAAAAAAAAAGAAAATTAAAGAGGTGACTAAGTTAAAAAAATTCACTATAACAAGTACGATCTTGCTAACGAGCGCCCCGGAGAGTTAGCTAAGGATAAATTTGTTGAAATGGTATTAAGTTAGGAATTCACGACAAAATCACGTGTCGTTCGGTGTAATTAATGTTAATTTTACTCTAATATTTGCATTTTAATTCTCTTATCTAACGTCCCGGGAGCGCCCATTAGCTTTTGCCTAATAAGTAAGTGAATATAAAAGTATAAACTTGAGGCATAGTCCCTAGAAATCATGAGATAAGAGCTAGTTATTACACCGCCTAGCAAGAGTAATAACTTCAGATCCCCTAAATTTCATCATTATTCAAAGATGATGATTTCTAGTTTCCTGCATTTTCTGGAGAAACAACTGAAGTATATCTACTTGCAACCCTTAACACTTCTACCATGCATTCTGTTCTTGTTATTCCTATACAAATGGCTTAAGTTTACAACTGTTTCTAGGAAAAACCTGCCACCTACTCCACCAAAGCTACCAATTCTAGGCAATATACATCAGCTTGGCACACAACCTCACCGTTCTCTCCGATCAATGTCCGAGAAATATGGGGACATCATGATGATTCAACTCGGAAGTATGCCAACCATTGTTGTTTCCTCAACAAGAGCAGCTCGCGAGATCATGGTAAACCATGATATTGTTTTTGCTAACAGACCAATGTCTAAGAAAGGAGAGCGGCTTTTGTATAATTACAAGGACATTGTTGGATCACCTTATGGAGAATATTGGAGGCAGATGAAGAGTATATGTGTGGTTCATCTATTAAGCAACAAAATGGTTCGGTCTTTTAGCATTGTCAGAGAAGAAGAAACAGCTCTTCTGATGGAAAAAATCAGACAAGCAGAGTCATCACCGGTGAATCTGAGTGAGATGTTTGTAGAGTTCACGAATGATTTGATATGCAGGGTTGCATTTGGAAGGAAGTACATTGGAACAGAAGGCGGTATCAACTTTAAGAAGGTTATGAAAGAGTTTAGCAGGTTGCTAGCTGAATTCAATGTTGAGGACTATATTCCTTGGCTTGCTTGGATTGATAAACTTAATGGATGGAATGCAAAAGTTGACAGGGTTGCCAAAGAGTTGGATCGATTCCTCGAAAAGGTGGTTAAAGAGCACCAGGATCGTTTGAATGATTGCAGAAAAACTGAAAAGGGTGACAGTACTGATGAAAAAGTAAAGGATTTTGTGGATGTTCTGCTTGATGTTCAGAAGGATCAAACAGGTCACTTTCCTATAGACCGAGACAGTATAAAAGCTCTCATTTTGGTAAGCGATTTTTTAAATTAATTTGCAAAATACTAAGTTGCTAATATTCTTTTTCATTTCAGAAAACTTCATTAGCTTTTTTCTGTAACATCTATACAAAACAGAACAGTAGAAACTGTACACTAATTGTACAAATATAGGCCAATTTTAGAGTATAGATTGAAATACGAATACATGATTGTCTTTTAGTACCCTTATATTGCACCTTAACGACGGTGTGATTTAAATTCATGTAATTGTTTAACACAGGATATGTTTATTGCTGGAACTGATACAACTTCCACCTTATTAGAATGGGCGATGACAGAACTATCGAGGCATCCAAAAATTCTTAAAAAACTTCAAGAAGAGGTGAAAGAAATTACCGGAGATGGTGTAGATGTAAAAGAAGACGACTTAGAGCATATGAAGTACCTGAAAGCAGTAGTCAAGGAGACTTTAAGGCTACATCTCTCAGTACCTTTGTTAATACCTCGACAATCAACCCAAGATATCGAAATATGTGGCTATAACATTCCTGCAAGAACAGGAGTTATTATAAACGGTTGGACAATCCACAGAGATCCTGCTTCTTGGGATGAACCCGAAAAGTTCAATCCAGAAAGGTTCTTGAATTCCACGACAGACTTCAGAGGACATGACCTGCAGTTCATTCCATTCGGAGCTGGTAGAAGGATGTGCCCCGGAATATCATTTGCTATAGCAAGCAGTCAGCTATTGTTAGGAAATCTGATGCTTAAGTTCGACTGGAAGTTACCTGGTGAAGCAGATGGTGAGAGCTTGGACATGAGTGAGAGCTTTGGGATCACAATGTGCAGGAATACTCCGCTTTTTGTTGTAGCAAAAGCTTGTACACCAGCTGCAGGAAGCTGAAGGCTCTGAGTTTTTGGCACAAATAGAAGGGTTATGAAAAAAAGCATGAATTTATGCAAAATAGAAATCCATCAATTACTATGTGTTTTATGTAATCAAAAGCTTTTAATCCCAAAAGGGTGGAGATGACTGAATGAATGAATAATTTATCTCCTATGTTCGTCGACAAATTAGGATCATTTTCATCCATTCATTGCAATATGCTCTTGCCAACCCATATTCTTTATATCATAACTTTCTATAGCCTAATAATAAGCTAAGCTAAGGTATTGTTCTTATTGAATTAATATCCAATAAAAATCATATTTTTGAGTAATAATCAGTCTAATTCATCATCAAACAACAAATTCAATATCTTCGTAGTAAAAATCAGTAATTACATAAAAAAATTTACAGTATACTTAACCTTAAGAGTAAGTTGTAATAAAAAATTTCAATTTCAGTCCATATATTGAGTTTTAGTTTATAAAAACTAATTATAAGTCAAAATAAATCTAGTTCACTAGAAATCAAGTAATTATAGGACTTAGCTTCTAAATGTTTGAATGTTCCTTTACTTTGGCACTCTTTTAGTACTAAAAGGACAACTTTAAAAAGCAAATTTATTTCTTTCTTTACGTGAGGCAGAGTTAGTAGTTTCTTACAAGTTATTCTTAAGTATAACTCTATACTCAATAAGTACTACATATGTAAGAAAGAGATGAAAAAAATGGCCAAATGGGTTGGAATGAAGAGTTTTTTCTCATGTAAATGACAATTAGCATTATTTTGATGATATGGTACGAGGTCAATTGTTTAGTTGAACCATAAATGCATATGATACGATTGCACGAGGCAGTCGAATGCATCGATGCATGGGATTGGCTACAAAAGGGGATTGCCATCTCCTCCTTTTATCATCAATCAAAAAACCAAATCAAAATTACACACACATACACTGATACACATACATTACACACATAGGTATATCACACATATGGCAGAGATGAAAATGATTGGTTTTCTTATGCTTATAATAAGCGTTGTACTGATGGTAAGCAGTAGCGCAGTTGCAGGTGAAATCGACGATGAGCAGCCACTTATTTCAAACATCATGTTAGCCCAAGCACCAGCCCCGAGCAGTTGCACACCGATGGGCCGAGCTTGTATCCGTCCTAATCAGTGTTGCCCGGGCAGTGTTTGCAACATGGTCAGATACAAATGTGTAAAGTGCCTGGCTGCTGGTGATCATTGCGATGCTACTTCACGTTGTTGCCCTGGATCATTCTGCACTTTTCCCATCGGGGGTAGATGCAAAAAATATATATCATAAATGAAGCTTAAGGAAGCCACAATAATACTGCATGCATTGCATAATTTTATCACTCTGTAATTAATTAAATAAATAATGTGCCAATTGTTTAGATAATAAAATAGCCGCTATGATAGTGTATAATAAAGCTGGTTATTAAAAAGACGAGCATATACTACTGATACCATCTACTGTATTGTGTTATGTTGCTATTGGAGTTGCAATGCAAACTATTTCTAAATAAAACAATGTTATGTTAAAGCATGCATATATGATACTCCATAGAGTATGCCTGTCTCTGATACCATGTTAAATAACCAACTCAAACAAAAGCTAATTGAGACCCAAGACAAAATAAAAATGTGAAGTTTCCAGCGATCCAGTGTTGTTCTTCGGCACCACGTACTTAATTAGTACATTGTACTACATAAATATGTCACGTGCACGTTTATCTTGGTTATTAACTTGTATTTGCTCACAGGAAACTATAATTAAAACCACCATCACCAAATACTTGTAACACAGATGACAATTTTATTTTATTTTTTTTAAAAAATGTTATTTTGTACTAATCATGGTCCCAAATTGCTAACATATGTGGTTCCTATTCACTAATCATACGGAGTAAATTGACATGTGCTGATATTTATTTGGTAAATCAAATAAATAAAGGTCAAGAAATTCTAAAAAAACATCCCTTCATTTCCTTAGCACAAACATTCAGTAAAATAAGTAATCAATCTGCACACAAAAGGATGCTGCCCAGTATAGAACAATTCTTCACAATTCTTCCACTCATCTTGTTCTTATACTTCCTATACAAATGGCTTCACACAAAATCTTCTCTCGGAAAAAGCCTACCTCCTTCTCCGCCAAGGATTCCGATTATAGGCAACCTTCATCAGCTAGGAAATTACCCCTACCGCTCTCTTAAACCACTATCTGAAAGATATGGGGAGCTCATGGTTGTTTATATGGGGAAAGCTCCAGTCCTTATTGTCTCCTCTGCCAAAGCAGCTCGCGAGATCATGAAAACCCAAGATTCAACATTTTGCAATAGGCCAATATCTAAGTTCCGTAACAAGCTTCTCTACAATGGCAAGGACGTGGCAGCAGCTCAGTATGGTGAGAATTGGAGGCTGATGAAGAGTATATGTGTGCTTCAGCTATTAAGTAACACAAGGGTGCGATCTTTTCGAAGAGTTAGGGAGGAAGAGATGGCACTTCTAATGGAAAAGATTGAGAAATCATCATCTTCAGTAGTGAATTTGAGTGAGATGTTTATGACTTTAACAAATGATGTGGTATGCAGGGTAGCCTTTGGAAGGAAATACAGTAAAGATATTAACTTCATGAAACTCTTAAGGGAGTATCTAGAATTGCTGGGTAGTTTTAGAGTTGGAGATTTTATTCCGTGTTTGGCTTGGACTAATTGGCTTAGTGGGTCGGATGCAAAGGTGGACAGAGTTGTTAAAGAGTTTGATAACTTTCTTGAGCAGGTTGTTAAAGAGCACCAGGATCGTCAAGGAGACAGCAGAAAGGGTGAAGATAGCCAAAATGATGAAATGGCTAAGGACTTTGTAGATGTTTTACTTGATGTTCAGAAAGAAAACACAGCTGGGTTTGCCATTGACAGAGATAGCATCAAAGGTGTTATACTGGTAACAACTAATTTTTCGTTTAAATTTATCCATTTTACTAATTTATCTTTTAGGCTTAAATTCTTTCATCTTCCTGTTCTAATTTCTCTGAATCGAGTCCCTAAAAACACATGCCAGTGATTTGTGTTCATTATATTGAAATGGATTTGATATTGAATCTCATACTAGAGAAGTACAGACTCTAAAACCCATACTAGTCTAAAGTTGTTTGGTTTTATTGTTAGCATGGATTATATACTGCACTAATAGAATGGATTGTGAATTAGGGGGAGAGGTGGGCATGATTCAATAGGTATGGGGTAAAGTTAAAATCCTTGGGGTATGAGATTCCATTATTAAAAAACTCAACCAAACAAAAAAATAGATGGAATGGAGTTCTCCAACCCATTCCAAATGATCCAACCAAACGACTGTGAAATTCCTTTTCTTCAAGTATCTAGGTTTGACTATAATAATTAGTCTAAGTCCAGTTTTCACATATAAGAACAACAGTATCACATCCTGCCAATAGATATTAAGAGGATATTTGTGGCATTAATGCATTATCCCATCTAAACTTCCTTTGAAGACTGAACTTTTGATGAGGTTGCTGTTAACTAGACCTGATCAAATACCAAATAAGCCTCAAAAAGACCAAATTATTTGACTTTTTGCTGGTATAACCCCCCCTCCCTTCTCCCAACAATACCCTTTAAGGATGAAAAGTGCAATCTATATACACACATTGACACATACATGTTTATAACACCTTTTAAGCCAAAATTATACGGAACAAACATAAAATTTCATCATATGGCACAATAAACCAGTTATTAGTATTCTGTGAATTCGGTTAATGTGGAGTTATTGTCTGACTGATACAGGATATATTTTCTGGTGGAACTGATACAACAGCCACAGTCCTAGAATGGGCAATGACAGAGTTACTAAGGCATCCCTTAGAAATAAGTAAACTGCAAAGAGAAGTCAGAGGAATTACCGGAGAAAAAGCATATGTTAATGAAGATGATTTGGGGCAGATGAAATACTTAAAAGCAGTGATCAAGGAGACCCTTCGACTACATCCTCCGATTCCTTTCCTGTCAAAAAGAAGATCAATACACGACACAAAGATTAACGGGTATGATATTCCAGCAGGTATCACAGTCTTGACCAATGCTTGGGTAATCCACAGAGATCCCGCTTCTTGGGATGAACCTGAAAGGTTCAATCCAGAGAGGTTCTTAGATTCCACAACAGATTTTAAAGGGCAAGACTTCGACTTGATTCCATTTGGATCAGGAAGAAGGATTTGCCCAGGAATTACGTTTTCCATTGCTAATAATGAACTTGTATTAGCAAACCTCATGCATAAATTCAACTGGATTCTACCTGGTGGAGCAGATGGTGAAACTTTAGACATGAGTGAATGCATAGGCCTAACCGCCCATCAGAAGATTCCTCTACTTGCTACTGCAACACCTGTGATTGAAGGTAACTGAAGGTCTTATTGGTGCTTTACTTATAGAAATAAAACAACTATAAATAGCAGCCAGAAGATGCTTCATGGCTCATCAGTACTAATAACCTTGACTAAGACGAGCATGTACTACCTGTCTACTACTCTACTGGTACTATCTACTGTATGGACTATGCAATTTTTATTGTTATTAGAGTTGCAATGCAAATACTTTGTAAATAAACAATATATAGAAGGTATAAAAGTGTCTCAAATATACACGAAGGGAATGACTCTATAGAAGAAGACTTGGAGCATGTGAAATACCTGAAACTCTGAAAGCAGTGGTCATGGAGACTTTACAGCTACATCTTCCAGTTCCTTTGTCAATACATCGACAATTAACCCAAGCTACCAAAGTACTTGAATACAACATTCCTGCAAGGACAGGAGTTATTATAAACGGTTGGGCAATCCACAGAGATCCTGCTTCTTGGGATGAACCTGACAAGTTCAATCCAGAAAGTTTCTTGAATTCCCAAACAGACATCATGGCAAGCAGTCAGCTTTTAATAGCAAATCTGTTAAGATATGAGACATCGGAAAATATTGTGTGATATATTTTCCGTAGATATCATTAAAGGAATAATATATTTAGGTTTATTTTATGTTAAGATATGATTTAGTGAATATATCATTAGGATATATGGTATATCTTATGGGAAGATTGTTTCCTATCTTATGAGCATAGATTTTGTATAAATACTCAACCTATGATCAATAATAATCAAGCAATACAAAAAGCTATTCTATTCTCTCATAAATAATTTGTCATGGTATCAAGAGCAGGTTAAATCTTGGGACCGTTCATAAAAAATTTCCCCCCTACCGGTAGGTTAGAAATTAAACCCACCGGTGGGATGATCCTTTAGCAAAAATTACCAAATTTTTTTTTTAGTTTATTCCGTTGTGCAAGTTAGTGTTGGTGCAGAGTTTGAGTTGATGACTTGATGTATACATTACATCATGCGTGGCTTTTCTAAGCATTGAGATCAAAATAAAGTTGTTGGTGTGTCTTTGACTCTCACAAGTTTTCGGCTCTCTTGTGTCGTGAGACAAGATATATTTGGTTCTCCTTGTGCCGTGAGACAAGGTTTGTGAGTTGATTCGAGCATGATTTTGCTCCTTTGGATATGAGTGTGGTTTACTCTGAAAAACCAGTAAAAGATTTGAGTGTGGTTTACTCTGAAAGACCAAAAGATTTGAGTGTGGTTTACTCGAAAAGACCAAAAGATTTGAGTGTGGTTTACTCTAAAAAAACCAATATTTGATTGGAGCTCAGTTTTGCTCTAGAAAAACCAAAAATTGTTATATTTACAGGTTCGAAAAGAATGACGTTCCTCTTTGATTGATGACAGATGAGTTCGAAAAGATGAACGTTCTCATCATTGAAGTTTTTTTTTTTTTTTTTGTGAAGGCGACATCACAAGAGTGTGCATCTCGGCTTCTAACAAATTGAAGAATTTCCAATCGCAACGTTCGTATTACTGCCGTTACGATTGCGGGAGGGTGTTAAGATATGAGATATCGGAAAATATTGTGTGATATATTTTCCGTAGATATCATTAAAGGAATAATATATTTAGGTTTATTTTATGTTAAGATATGATTTAGTGAATATATCATTAGGATATATGGTATATCTTATGGGAAGATTGTTTCCTATCTTATGAGCATAGGTTTTGTATAAATACTCAACCTATTGATCAATAATAATCAAGCAATACAAATAGCTATTCTATTCTCTCATAAATAATTAGCCATATGGTTTTGAGGTGGAACCTCCTTGGTCTTGTAAAAGTGGTGGACTTGCACTCTCCCGTGACGGGTGCGGCCCAGACCCGTATTTAACAAAATCTCATGGGTGAGTTTAATTAGGTGTTGCCTGGTGAAGCAAAAGGTGAGAACTTGGACATGAGTGAGAGCTTTGGGATCACTTTGTGCAGGAATACTACAGCTGTATCAAAAGCTTGTATACCAGCTGCAGGAAACTGAAGGCTCTGCACGACTGCACCCCTGTATTTGATACACTGAGTTATTGGCAGCAAATAGATGGGTCACGAACAGCATATCTGTATTTATGCAAATCATTGCTACATGTTTTATGTAATCAGATTCTGATTTCCTTATATCTTTCTGCTTTTCCTAGTTCCTTTACTTTTTCGTTAATTGACTTTGAGTCATATATTCATGTACTAGAGTACTAAAGTGATAAAATGAACTTGGTACCTGACCATGAATTTGTTTTTTGCTAGATTATCCTTGAAATGTGTGCGTGTGTGTGTTTTTTTCCTCAAGCAAAGTATTTCACAGGTTTCAGGAATCCAGGATTAGTCTCAATAAATAAAAATAGAAATTTAAGATTCAATATGATAAGGTTCTGCCACAAAAATATTATCACGATGATGATAAAATCCAGTCATATAGTTTTGTACATTAAGGCCATTATACAAGATATGCTTAAAGAATGAAGCCATACAAGACAAAATATAAATGTAAATTTCCAGTGTTATCCTTCAGGCATACTTATTTAGTATTCTTCGTTTAAACATAAATCTATTTTCAAATAGTTTACTTCATATAGTCAAGACAAAACTATGATTAAAGAAAGCATCTATCCCTTTCTTCTAAAAAGTTATAAAACCATAACCACTGCCACCAACCACCAGTAACACAAATCTATCTTTAAATATTAAAAGACAATATTTTTTTTATAAAATCTACCTTCCTATTTTCAGTCTCCACCAAATAATTGCTAACATGGTCCAAAGTTCACTATCTAATAAATTAACATATCATGATGATATTAAATATTGGTAAGTCAAATAAAAACAGTTCAAGAAATTCTAACAAAGAATTTCCCTTCATTTCCTAAGCACAAACATTCAGTAAAATCAGTGTGCAAAGTTGCAAACAGAAGGATGCTGCCCAGCATAGAACAGTCCTTTACAGTTCTTCCACTCATCCTGTTCTTATTCTTCCTATACAAGTGGCTTCACAAAAAATCTTCTCCCGGAAAAAGCCTACCTCCTTCTCCGCCAAGGCTTCCGATTTTAGGCAACATTCATCAGCTAGGAGCTTTCCCCTACCGCTCTCTCCAATCACTATCGGAAAGATATGGGGAGCTCATGGTAATCAATCTGGGGAAAGCTCCAGTACTTATTGTCTCCTCTGCCAAAGCAGCTCGCGAGATCATGAAAACCCAAGATTCAACATTTTGCAATAGGCCAACATCAAAGGTTGCCAACAGGCTTCTCTATAATGGTAAGGATGTGGCAGCAGCTCAGTATGGAGAGTATTGGAGGCAGATGAAGAGTATATGTGTGCTTCAGCTTTTAAGTAACACAAGGGTGCGATCTTTTCAAAGTATTAGGGAAGAAGAGATGGCACTTCTCATGGAAAAAATTGAGAACTCATCATCTTCAGTTGTGAATTTGAGTGAGATGTTTATGACTATAACAAATGATGTGATATGCAGGGTGGCCTTTGGAAGGAAATATACTGGTAATAAAGGACAAGATATTGACTTCAAGAAGCTCTTGAGGGAGTTTCTAGATTTGCTAGGCTGATTTAGAGTTGGAGATTTTATTCCGTGTTTGGCTTGGACTAATTGGCTTGGTGGGTCGGATGCAATGGTGGAAAGAGTTTCTAAAGAGTTTGATAACTTTCTTGAGCAGGTTGTTAAAGAGCACCAGGATCGTCAAGGAGACAGCAGAAAGGGTGAAGATAGCCAAAATGATGAAATGGCTAAGGACTTTGTAGATGTTTTACTATATGTTCAGAAAGAAAAGACAGCTGGGTTCACCATTGACAGAGATAGCATCAAAGCTCTCATACTGGTAATTACTAATTTGTTGAAAAAATTATCCATTTCACTAAATTCATCTTTTAGGCTTAAATTCTGTTATCTTCCTGTTTTATTTTCCCTGAATCGAGTCCTTAAATAGCAATTCTACACCCTTAAATTCAACGTCAACTACCCTGCCATAGAGAAGGCAGGACTTTAGTCCCAGAAATCCAGGATCCAGATTGATTGAGTGGGCACACGATATGCCAGTGAATTGTGCTGCTTATCAGACTATCAGTAAATTCCTTTTCTACCAAAGAACCAAGGTTTTAGCCATCATTAAGTCCAAGTTCAGTTTTCACATATGAGAGCAATAATAGTATCACATCCTGCCAAAAGAAATTAAGAGTATATTGGTGGCAATATCCCATCTAAACTTCTTTTGAAGACTGAGCTTTAGACAAGGTTGCTACTAAGGACCAAATAAGCCTCAAACAGACACATAATTGACCTTTCGCTGGTAAACACATACAGGAAAAACAATATAATCCCCCTCCCTTCCCTTAACCCCCACCAAAATAAAAGAATAAGAAGAATAAATTATCCTAGAAGGATGACAAGAGCAATATACGCACTTACATACATGTCTATAACACCTTTTTAGCCTAAATTACACAGAAAAAACATAATATTTCATCATATGGCACAATACACCAGTTATGAGTATTCTGTGAATTCTTTTAATGTGAAGTTATTGTCTGATACAGGATATGTTTTCTGGTGGAACTGATACAACACACACAGTCCTAGAATGGGCAATAGCAGAGTTATTAAGGCATCCCTTAGTAATGAGTAAACTGCAAAGAGAAGTCAGAGGAATTACCGGAGAAAAATCATATGTTAATGAAGATGATTTGGATCAGATGAAATACTTAAAAGCAGTGATCAAGGAGACCCTTCGTCTACATCCTCCGATTCCTTTGCTGGCTCCAAGAAAATCAATGCACGACACCAAGATTAACGGGTATGATATTCCAGCAGGTATCACAGTTATAACTAATGCATGGGCTATCCACAGAGATCCTGCTTCTTGGGATGAACCTGAAAGGTTCAATCCAGAGAGGTTCATAAATTCTACAACAGATTTTAAAGGGCAAGACTTCGAATTGATTCCATTTGGATCAGGAAGAAGGATCTGCCCAGGAATTACATTTTCCATGGCTAATAATGAACTTGTATTAGCAAACCTCATGTATAAGTTCAACTGGATGCTACCCGGAGGAGCAGATGGTGAGACTTTAGATATGAGTGAATGCATTGGCCTAACCGCCCATAGGAAGCTCCCTCTATTTGCTACTGCAATACCTGTGATTGAAGGTAACTGAAGGTCTTATTGGTGCTTTACTTACTGAATAAAACAACAATAACCAGTAACTAGAAGATGCTTTATGGCTCATGCACTTCTAACATGATCTTATAAGTTATGCTGTTATTTCATATTTTGCCCTTGTCTTTTCATTACAATGTAATACGAATCAGATAATCCAGAAATATGGTAACTTTAACTAAATTGTCAGGTTTTCACAAGTCAGAGCACTAATGCACATCAAATTCATTTCACTCACTAGCTCACAACAATCAGTGATCAACTATATTCCGAGAAGCTGGTCCCTTAAATTTTATGAAGTAGTTGTCATAGTCATTGAGTCATGTCACATTATATTTTGTATGTTATTTCTAGTTTTTTACAAAATAGAACCATAAACTAATTTTTTTTAACCCAAGCGATAATTTGGACCAGTATTACTCATAAATTTCATGATTGAATCTCTTAGTTATGTTTTTCTTTATTGTTCTATTTTGTAAAAATAACATATGAAATATAACACTCCAAATGACATAATCCTATAGCATAAAAAAAAAAAAAAAACTTATTGTATACTACGTACTCCTTCCGCCCTTTTATTAAAAATATTTTTAATATTTATTACTCACATAATAAAGAGAAAGAGGCTTCCAATTTAGGGACAAAGGGAATTTAATTAGGCTGAGATTATTCAAAGTAGTGGCAATGTGGCATGACATTTCACTTGGATGCAACCCGTTGGACCAAAATCATTTAGTGGGCTAGTCGCTAGGCCCAATGTTACAGCTTATTACTTCATATCCAATTGGTAAAAGGCAACACTTAATTGACCCCCTTCACAGCTGATTTATCCTCTCTATTCCATTTCTCCATTCTTATAAAGTTTTACAGCTACAGTCTAACGGATAAGAGGACTTTAGTTCTAACTTATTATTATGTTTGTCCTTTAGCTTTTTTGAACATTGGATCTCGAGGACTAGAGGTGTCACATTTAGGTAATGTGGTTGGGTTCATTTAGGTCTAGTGTGTATCAAATTTGAGTCATACTAAATTATTATGTCTATAAGAATCGAAATCTAAAACAGATTTAGTCGGTTTTTGATCTCTCTAATTGGATTGGTGAGTATAGTACACTAGTGACCAGCTAAAAAAATGGATGGAGGTGAGTACCATTTCTATTCCCCCCCCCCCCCCCCCCCCAAAAAAAAAATAAAAATAAATAATAAATAAATAAATAAAAAGGATGGTTATGGGCCTGTGGCTAACTAACTAAACAGATATATAAATTAAATTGAACTAAATTGTGTCCTGGACTGTAGTCCCTACTCCCCACAAATCATGAATCATGGGGTTATCTCTTGGTTACCTCTATAGGCATCATATCCACACAATTCTACAGTAAAATTTACAGATGAATTCCAGAATTCTGCAGTTGCTGCAAAATCAACTAAAGTACATCTACTTACAACCTTTAACACTTGTATCGTTCATCCTCTTCCTGTTATTCCTCTACAAATGGCTTCAATTAACAACTATTTCCAGGAAAAACCTGCCTCCATCTCCACCAAAGCTACCAATTCTAGGCAATATACATCAGCTAGGTACTCAACCTCACCGTTCTCTCCGATCGATGTCCGAGAAATATGGAGACCTCATGATGATTCAACTAGGCAGTGTTCCTACCATCGTCATCTCCTCAGCAAGAGCAGCCCGCGAGATCATGGTAACCCATGATATTGTTTTTGCTAACAGACCAATGTCTAAGAAAGGAGAAAGGCTCCTATATAACTACAAGGATCTTGTAGGAGCACCTTATGGAGAATATTGGAGGCAGATGAAGAGTATATGTGTGCTCCATCTCTTGAGTAACAGAAGGGTTCGGTCATTTCGCAGTATCAGAGAAGAAGAAACAGCTCTACTGATTGAGAAAATAAGAAAAGCAGGATCATCACCTGTGAATTTGAGCGAGATGTTTATTGAATTCACGAACGATACGATATGCAGGGTTGCCTTTGGAAGGAAGTACATTGGAACAGAAGATGGTATCAACTTTAATAAGGTCATGAAAGAGTTTAACAGGTTGCTAGCTGAATTTAATGTTGGAGATATGATTCCCTGGCTTGCTTGGATTGATAAACTTAATGGATGGGATGCAAAAGTTGATAAAATTGCCAAAGAATTTGATCGATTTCTTGAAAAAGTAGTTCAAGAACACCAGAATCGTTTAGATGATTGCAGGAAAAATGAAGAGGGTGACAGTGATGAAAAAGTGAAGGACATTGTCGATGTTTTGCTTGATGTTCAGAAGGATCAAACACCTCACTTTCCCATAGACCGAGATAGTATAAAAGCTCTCATATTGGTAAGTGTTTACTCAATTGTTCGAAAATTATTAACTGCTAAAATTCATTTTCATTATTTCTTATGCATTTTTCTGTAACGTCTATATAAAACAGAACTGTAGAAATTGTAATGTACATGTTATAGGTATGTCACTACTTCAACTCACTAGTATAGTCACTCCAACAGCAAAATTTGCCTAATGTAACATACTCCGTTCTCAGCATCATTGAATTCCTTAGCTATTTTTAGGGAGCCAAGTATTAGATAAGCATAGTGTGGTCTGTTGAACCTATTCATATATTCTATTCATAAATCTTCGATATCTTGCAACTAAGGAATATCTTTTGAATTGTGCCTATCACTCACTCTTGGTTGAGGCTTGACAAGATTGGGTTTAAGGTGTAGACATAACAGCAAAAGACACCTAATAGTCACCTATGAGTCTATGACAAAAGCTAAACCTACAGGACAAACAGAATCAGATTACAAGTAACAAGTTGGACTCTACCAACAGTCAAGTGAATATTCTATTTGTTTTAATTATTCTAAACCAAGATTGTGACTGTTGAAGTGTACACTGACTGTGAAGATAGTGCATAACTCAATAATAATATAGGACAATTGTAGAGAATAGAGTGATAAACAAACAAAGATTATCTTTATTACCCTTTTATTCTTTCTTTAGTACTTTACCACGTTACCTAACTGTATAAAGTAATTGTCTAACAGGATATGTTTTCCGCTGGAACTGATACAACTTCCACCCTATTAGAATGGACAATGACAGAACTATTGAGGCATCCTAGAATTATGATAAAACTGCAAGAAGAGGTGAAGGCAATTACCGGAGAAATAGTAGATGTAAAAGAAGACGACTTGGAGCATATGAAGTACCTGAAAGCAGTGGTCAAGGAGACTTTAAGGCTACATCTTCCAGTTCCTTTGTTAATACCCCGACAATCAACCCAAGATACCAAAATATTTGGCTACAACATTCCTGCAAGGACAGGAGTTATAATAAACGGTTGGGCAATCCACAGAGACCCTGCTTCTTGGGATGAGCCTGAGAAGTTCAATCCAGAAAGGTTCTTGAATTCCTCAATGGATTTCAGAGGCCATGACCTCCAGTTCATTCCATTCGGAGCTGGCAGAAGGATGTGCCCTGGAATATCATTTGCCATGGCAAGCAGTCAGCTTTTATTGGCAAATCTCATGCGTAAGTTTGATTGGATGTTGCCTGGTGAAGCAGATGTTGAAACCTTGGACATGACTGAGAGCTTTGGGATCAATATGCACAAAAATACTTCACTTCTTGCAGTAGCAAAATCTTATATTGCATCTGCAGGAAACTGAAGGCTCCGCACCCTTGCATATGATTACCCTGAGTTGTTGGCAGCAAATAGATGGGCAATAAACAATAAAAACTTGTATATAATCAAGGAAGAGATCTTACGATTCCGGCATGTTCTATGTTGTCAGATTTTCATACTCCTAATCCTTGCTCTTGCTTTTCCTTGTCGCTCTGATTCCCTATTTTAAAATAATAATCCATGTTTGACTTCGCTAACTAAATCCCATAAAATGACATTAATTCATCAAACACGTGTATAAAATACTAATATGAAATTAGTGCCTTACAACGAATGTATGCTATGTATCCTTGCAAGATTACCCTAGATTTTTTTTCCCCCCAGGTAAAGCATTTTGTAACTTTCATCAGGAATTCAGATCAGTAAAATTAAGCTAAAAAAAATATGATTAAATTTGGTAAGAATTGACTGCAAGAATTAGTATCCAACTATCCGTGGTGTCAAATGTTTTTTATTGTCAGGATGATGCAAACCAAATAAGTATGTTCCAATTTATGATTAATTATGGAACTAATTTTCAGCTTCAAGCTTTGCAAAAGCAGAGCATAATGATAACAAGAAGTGCTTAAAGATTGAGAGCATTAGAGTTCCAAAATTCTCCTTCTTTGATCGACGTCAATCCTAAATGGCATTTATTTTATACTTAATGTTTTTCCATATAGTACTGTTTCATATAACTGCTCTATAAAGTCAGAACTTCAGATTATTTTCAGAACTAATTAAAAAAAATTCACTTTTTTTATGCTTAAGCAAAAACATAACCACGGCTATGTTATAGACCCACATGTGCAATCAGCCCAGTCAGCTAGGATGGCCCAAACACCAATTCGGGTCTATCAAAGGAGGCCCAAGCTGAGTGGACTTCACTTCAATTCCAACGGTAAAGAAAGGGGAGCAAATAAAGTCAACAACAAAGCTGAAACAGGAAGGAGACATGAAGAACAGAGCATTTGGGTGGCAAAGCCGAATCGGGAAATAAGACAAGGAGCTCTAGCTATGGAAGAGGGACACTTTTGTGTTATGTCTATTTTGCTTTCTACTAGATGAAAATCTTAATTAATATTAGGGCTTGTAATTGAGAGAAGAGCTGGAGTATTTAAACTAGTTTGTAATAGAGTAGCAACCATCCAGAAAATTGTGAGAAAACACTTGAGAGTAGTAGCCTCAAGCTACCAATGAGATTTATGGCCTCAAGCCATTGACTATCTTTTGTAACAGCTAATTCCTCAAATTAATCAATCAAGAATATAAGCCTTCCTCTAAATTGTGTCACTGAGATTACATATAATTGTGTGCGAAAAATAAGTCCTTGACAGGCTACTAACTCCTAGTAACTAAATTCTTTCTCTAAATAGTAAAAGATTAGCATTGAATTGTACACCCTCCTATCTCCGGTCAATAATCTTTACCCACACATTCGTACAAAAGATTAGTAAACAAATTGCTGCCATAGTCCCATAAGCACTCAAAAATTTGTGCACAGTGACGTTAATTAACATATTAAGCAGACTTTTATTTGGTCAGTCAAATGAATACACTTACAAGAATATTCTAACAAAGAACATATCTTCATTTCCTAAGCACACATTCAGAACGAAAGTAATCACAGTCTGCACACAGAAGGATGCAGCCCAGCATAGAACAGTTGAAGATAATCTTGCTGCAGTCCTTCACATTTTCTCCACTTATTTTGTTCTTATTCTTCCTAAAATGGCTTCACTCAAAATCTTCTCCTGGAAAAAGCCTTCCACCTTCTCCGCCAAGGCTTCCGATTTTAGGCAACCTTCATCAGCTAGGAGCTTACCCCTACCGCTCTCTCCAATCACTGTCTGAAAGATATGGGGAGCTCATGCTAATTAATCTAGGGAAGGCACCAGTCCTTATCATCTCCTCTGCCAAAGCAGCTCGCGAGATTATGAAAATCCAAGATTCAACATTTTGCACTAGGCCACCTTTAAAAACAATTAACAAGCTTCTCTACAATGGTAAGGACGTGGCAGCAGCTCAGTATGGTGAGTATTGGAGGCAGATGAAGAGTATATGTGTGCTTCAGCTCTTAAGTAACACAAGGGTGCGGTCTTTTCAAAGTGTTAGGGAAGAGGAGGTTACTCTTCTAATGGAAAAGATTGAGAACTCGTCATCTTCAGTTGTGAATTTGAGCGAGATGTTTATGACTTTAACAAATGATGTGATATGCAGGGTGGCCTTTGGAAGGAAATACAGTGGTAATGAAGGACATGGTATTAACTTTAAGAGGCTCTTGAAGGAGTTTCTAGAGTTGCTAGGCCGTTTTAGGGTTGGGGATTTTATTCCGTGTTTGGCTTGGACTAATTGGCTTGATGGGTCAGATGCAAAGGTGGACAAAGTTTTTAAAGAATTCGACAACTTTCTTGAGCAGGTTGTTAAAGAGCACCAGGATGGTCAAGATGACAGCAGAAAGGGTGAAGAGAGCAAAAATGATGAAATCGCTAAGAACTTTGTAGATGTTTTACTTGAAGTTCAGAAAGAAAAGACAGCTGGGTTCGCCATTGACAGAGACAGCATCAAAGCTCTTATACTGGTAACAATCTCGTTTTAATCAATCCATTTTGCTATTTTCATCTTTAAGGCTTAAACTCTTTCATCTTCTTGTTCTGTTTTCCTTGTATCATGTCCCTAACTCGAAAATTCTACTCCCTTTATTCTTCACCAAGGCAGGATATATAGCAATGTTCTAGTTCCAGGATCCCTAAATACCAAGTAGGCACATGATATGCTAGTAGTTTGTAGTGAATCAATCCGTAGTTTCCTTTTCTAGTTTTCTACAAGTACTAAGATTTTATAACAGTCAACATTGCTCCTAGTTCAGTTTTCACAAATAAGAATAACCATAATGCTTCCAATGGAAATTGATAGGATATTGGTAGCAATATCCTGTCAAAGGTGTTTTTTTTAAAGGCTGAGCTTATGAGGTACACAAAATCTACAAGGTAGCAATTAACAACTACACATGACTAAAAACGAAACCAATTCTTTGACCTTTTGCCAGTATACACATACAGGCAGAACTAAATTATTTTGTAACCCCCCCCCCCCCCCAAAAAAAAAAAAAAAAAAAAAAAACTTCTGCCAATATAAAAATCTGAAAGAACAATACTAACTACCATTACAGTATGATGCAGTGTCCTTGATGGATAACAAGTGCTCAAAATACATACATACATGATACATGTTTATAACACCTTTTAAATCAAATTTGATTATAGATGTAGACAATATGCATTGAGTGTTGAGCTTAATACACAAGAACATCCATAATATTTCAGATTTTGGCACAATATTTCAATTATGAGTCTTTTGTGAATTCAGTTAATGTGAATATTGACTGATGCAGGATATATTTTCTGGTGGGACTGATACAACATACACAGTCCTAGAATGGGCAATGACAGAGCTATTAAGGCATCCCTTAAAAATGAGTAAACTACAAAGAGAAGTCAGAGAAATTACCGGAGAGAAATTATATGTGAATGAAGATGACTTGGAGCAGATGAAGTACTTGAAAGCAGTGATCAAGGAGACCCTTCGGCTACATCCTCCAATTCCCTTGCTGGTTCCAAGACAATCAATACAAGACACCAAGATTAACGGTTATGATATTCCAGCAGGTACCATAGTTATAACCAATGCTTGGGCAATCCACAGAGATCCCGCTTCTTGGGATGAACCTGAAAAGTTCAATCCTGAGCGGTTCATAAATTCTCCTACAGACTTCAAAGGGCAGGACTTCGAATTGATTCCATTCGGATCAGGAAGAAGGATCTGCCCAGGAATTACATTTGCTATTGCTAATAATGAGCTTGTATTAGCAAACCTCATGCACAAGTTCGACTGGATGCTGCCTGGTGGAGCAGACGGTGAGACTTTAGATATGACTGAATGCATTGGCCTAACCGCCCATCGGGAAATTCCTCTACTTGCAACAGCAACACCCGCGATTGCAGGCAACTGAAGGTCTTATTGATGCTTTACTTGAAAAAATAAAACAGCAATAACTAGCAACTCCAAAATACTTCATGGGTTATGCACTACTATCATTATCCTATGCTTTATTTTTGCACCTCTTTCGTCTTCTTTTCATTGCAATGAATAATACAAATAAAAAAACCCATCAATATATTAAGTAATAAGTTCAGCTATGTTGTCACAATTTCACAAACCAAAGTCATAGCACAATGCACATAAAATTCATTGACACTCACTGGCTCACATAAGTCAGTGTGATCAACAACGTTTCGAGAAACCGATCCGATAAGAGGTAATCAGATAATACAAATGTGAGTATGTACAAATATATATCTGCCTTCATTTAGTGCATCTAGTTACTCACACAGAATACGTAAGAACTAAATTCAATTAGAAGAGTATTCCTTCAGAAACCAAACGAACTTCACTGAGGCATTTTATCAAACAGTTGGTATGCACAAAAACTGAAAAACAAACCTCGTAATACCATGAATCTTCCAGGGTGCGCGCAATTGAGCACAAAGAAGATAGAGAATGCACAGAATTGTAGGTAAGCAAACTTCATCCAACTAACCCCCATTGACAGCAAATTGTCATGAAATCACCACGTAAGTATTATGCAAAATTCAGTTCAATTTTGCTGTTTGAATCTTTCTAGACCAACTACACCATTTTTCATCACTTACCTATTTTTCATGTTGTAAACAATGGTTATTTTCTTTAGTGCAATTTTATTTATTTATTTTTTTTACCTACTACTACTTTTCAAATTTTCATATCCTAATACAAAGTCTCGTTTCTTTTTGGGTAAATCAAAATACACATATTTTGATTTACCCAAAAAGAAACGAGACTTTGTATTAGGATATGAAAATTTGAAAAGTAGTAATAGGTAAAAAAAATAATAAAATAAAAAAATAATACTGCTCTTTTTAAGTTTAGTGAGTATAGAGTTTGGCTTGAAGATACTCTTGCTGAGATACAGGGTGCTATTTGTAATGATACTGATCTTTTGATAGTTTAATAATATTGCTAAGCTGATGTTTTGTAAAAAAAAAATCAAAATATAATGTCTTTTTTCTACATGTATTTTTTTTTAACATTATTACCAGGGGCGAAGCCAAGGGGGGTTGGCGGGGGCCTTGGCCTCCCACTTGGCTCAAAATATTAATTAAATTTGCTTTTAATTGTCATTAATTTTGGTGTGGAGGAGCTAGTTTTTTCCATGTGATAGTATGCAAGATGTCAAGGGATCAAGTCTTGTAGCTAACACAATTTGTGTTTTTTTTTTTTTTGTAAAGTAAATGTAATCAATTCAATAGTTGCAAAATTATACAAAGTAGGTATAATTTTGGCCCCCTTAGTCAGAAATTCTGGCTCCGCCACTGATTATTACCTTCTTTTTTATGAGTTATCATTTTTTTTCCTTTACTCTTATTTGTACTTTTAACAATAAACTAGTTTGAGGCCCGGGCGATGCCCCGGGTCATTTTTTTTAATAAAAAACTATAGTAAATTGTTTTAAAAAATAAATTTAATAAATTAAAGGGAAATCTATTGATGGTTTTATAATTTTATAAAAAATTATTTTTATTATAAATTTTATTGAACATTAACAAAACTCATTATGAAATATGCAGTAACCTAACTTTTATACTTCATATTAGTTTGTTTTATCTGGTAAATGAATTTTTATCTACCATTATAAATTTCTTCAAAGTATAGATGAGCAAACGAAAGAATGATGATTAAAAAATTAGGATTTATGAACATTAATTTTTTGTGAGTAAAAATTGATGATTAGTTTTAAAAATTGTGTGCGAGGGGCTGGGTGCGAGTGCTGGTGCCATTGTTCGTGATTCAGGAGGTGCTCCTTTGCTTGCTGCTGCCTGGAAAACGGAGGAGAGGTTGGTGCCCTGCATTGCTGAAGCCAAAGCAATTTTATTGGGGCTTCGGGCTATTATAGAGGCTGGGTATTCTCGGGTCGAGGTGGAGGGTGATTGTTTAGCTAGCTGCTATCAACACAATTGTAACTCGTGAAAGAGGGAGAAGTTGTCTCCATATGATTTTAGATGATATTCATCATGTGTGCTCGTTCTTAAGTAGTGTGTCTTGGAAGTTCGTTCGTAGGGAAGGTAATAAAGTCGCTCATGGTTTAGCTCATTGCTTGCCTTGGGAGGTCGGTAGTAGAGTTTGGATGACGGATTTCCCGTCTTGTATTGTTTCTCTTTTGAACAATGATCTCCCTATGAATGAAAGCTAGTCGCTCCTTTGGAGCTTCTTCTCAAAAAAAAAAAAAAAAAAAAAATATATATGACATGAATCACATGACCCCACATCATTTATCAATTCATGACGACACGTGGCAAATATGATGACACGTGGCATGATTACAATTCTTGCCTTGAGTTTTAATATATATATATAGATTCCCGTAAAAAAAAACATCAAATTTCCAACCTATTCTCTCTATCTCTTCGGTTATTCCCAATTACTTATTTTTTCTATCTCTCTTTAACCCCACAAGCACATATGTACATTAAATTATTAATTTTAGAATTTACAACATTCTTAATTTCCGCATAAAAACCAAAAAGATTTTATATTAGGGAACGGAGGGAGTAATAAATTTGGGATCACTAGTAAATTAATTTTGTATTTTACTCCCCCGTTCCCAACACTTCGACCCCCTTTTGTCCTAATTTTAATCCTAAAATGATCAACTCATTTGCATTAAAATACCCACCAATTTACAACAACATTTGTGCAAAATTAGTTTCTCCATATAATTTTTTTTAATGTATTTTTTAATATTTTATCACTCTATTTTTTAACAAACCCGTATAAATTTATCTTTCCAATATATTTTTATTTCTTTTCATTTAACTTTCTTAATAACCGCGAAATCAAGTTTTAGGGACGGAGGGAATATTACTTTTGGAATAACTCGATTTTCATGTCCCCTTATAAATAAACAAGCCTGAAAACACACAAATAAAAGACGAACAAAGAATAAGAACGCAGCACAGCAGCAGTCCGACGAAGCCCGAGTTTCTGAGCGGTCTGTATACATATTCTATACCACATGCTTTTGAAGTTAGTTGTTGTTTCACAATCTAGGGTTTATCTTTGATCTAATTTTATTTAATTATAATAAGTTTAGGGTTGAAAATTTCAATTATTGATTCTAATTACTACTCCATATAATTATAACCAGTGATGTTGCTAGAAAACAAATTTATGAGCTTAATTTGATAATTGAATCTAATATCCCTAAAATTACGTGATTTTTTTAGCCTTATATGATAATTGAATCAAATTTGGTATTTTTACATGCTATTAAAAATATTAAAACCCTAGATGTTATTCATACAGGTATGGAGGAGATTGAGATAAGTGATTTGGATTATGTAGAGAGGGGCTCCTCTACTTATGAAGCGTGGGGTGATAATGAGCCTAACTCTGGTCTAACAACAACACCATTACTTGAGGTATTCTCCGTTAGCGTCCGGCCATTCGATTCCGAATCCGATTCATTTGGATGTCAAGTCTATGGCACCATTAAGGTCACTAATGGGTTAGGTCATGCTTTTGATGTCTACAACCGCGATCGCGACAACCCCGAGTTAATCGACCTTGATACACACAACTAATTCTTGACCTTAACCGGACCGAAAGATGGGCGTGTCATTCTTAAGAAACAAAACCCAAGACGATGTTGTGATTGCTCAAGGGAAATTGAATTTAGATTACAAGAATAGCTTCTACACAGAACACGGGGCGGAGAATGTTGGTTTTGTGACATTGCATTATGCCACTTTCCCTTATGCTGTGGTAGCTACTGTGGAGGTGGTGTTCTTCAGCAAATATGATGGTTATGATACGATAGACTATAATCGTGATGATTATTATGGTGATTATGCTGTTTATGATACTTCTGCATATAGGAATGGCATGGATGAATCTGCTGATGTTTATGGGACTGTTGCTGCACATACCAGTTTTCCTGGCAGTGGCTCAAATGATGGAGATAATTCGAGTATACTTCTAAATTTGTCGCGTGATCAATGTGTACCGGTCAAGTCTAGGAGTTTTATTGAGCTATCAAGATCCGTGGTGGCTGTGCCAGTTCACTCGAAGAGTTGCCCCCTCAATATTCTTGTAAATTTCGCATACAGCAGTTATGGAAGCAAACTAGCTGAGGGGGTTTTACAATTTTCTGCTCATGAAAGTGGAGTGGATAAGAAGGATGTAGTAGGAGAAAATGGGCGTATACGAGTACGAGTCAATTGGGGTGATGCATATCAGCAACGTTACAGAGGAAGTGATCTGAAACCAATCACTGAGACAGAAGCAGAAGAGCTAATCAAAAAGACAGAAAACAAGGTAATTTTTCTTTTGGAGTGCTGTTGAGTTAATCATCTTTACATGATTTTTTCTGTTAAACTACTAAATCAAGTAGCCATTTTAATTCAAATAGTCGTTTTACCATAAAATATTTCATTTTTGCCTTGATGATCATAATTAACTTGTATTTTTTTTTTGGCCTTGTTTTTTCTGTGGATACCCCAGTTTCTCATGGTGAAAAAAAAAAATAAAATAAAATTTGTTTCTCACATGGCATTTTCGTAATAAACCAACAATTTTATTCAACTGTGGAGCCCACAATAATGAAAAAATTATTGATTTATTTACGAAAATGCCCCATGAGAAACAAATTGCGTTTCTCACCGTGAGAGACAGAATTTCCCGTTTTTTCTAGGAAAATTTGATTATATTAATAGTTATAAAAATAAGAATATTATCATACAAATTTCATTAGATATTTATATTAATGTAATTTTATTTTAAAATCGTATAAAATCAATAACCAAATCATATAGCGATATTATCAGCTCTACATTGATTTGCTTGTCTTATAGTATAATATATTAAGTATAATATATTGATGATTGATTATTATACGTGATGTTTGGTTTATTTTTGTGACATGAGTTTTGATGTCTGTGTATCTCTTACAGTTACCACAAAGTCCAACTAGTTCCTGGCTTGCAAGACCAATTCATATTTTGGAGGTGTTTTCATTTGGTATAGGTAGAAATGATTTGCAGCCTCCCTTTAAAATCTGTGGCACTATCAGACTTCCTTTTTATCCTCTTTTTCACAAAGATGAGAGCTCCCCTCAGATCTGTAATGACAATAAACTTGAGGTCAGATATTGTGATGACCAAGCAATGTGGGCGTTTGATGATTTTGGCTTTTATGTTGACATAAGAGATGTTGAGACTGATTTTCGCGTTAAAGGACAATGTGCATGGCCATCCCGCTATCTTGAGTCATGGTTTGACAAGCGTGTATGCTCCTTTATTCGAGGGGATCATGGATATGTTGCAGTGCATTTCACTGTTATTTACGAGGGATTACAAGCTCAATTCAACATTTTTCTCAAAAGGATTAATATTAATAATGACACTTTGGACTTGTCATCCAGCAAACTATATGGGAGTATTGTGGCTCAGTATAGCAACCATGATTACTCAAACGTTTACGATGAGAAATATTATCAGAGTGTTCTCTTTGAAAGCAACACAGATAATCCAGTCAAACTTAATGAAGATGGATTGTTGCCGCTCTCAAAATCTCTAGTTTGTGTTCCAATAAAGTCTTCCCTAATTATCAAAGCAAACTTAACAGTTGATGGTGTTGGTGTTGATGTTTTGCAGGGCATTGTAGAATTTAATGCTGTTGACGGTCCATCTTCTAAGGGGATTTGTGGACACAAGCACTGTGTTAATATATTGGTGAATTGGCCTCCATTTTTCTAGTAACTAGGTCGGGTTCGGTTAGGTAGAGTTGGTTAGATTTATTTAAATTTGAGTCATGCTTATTTATCTGGTTTGGATCAGACTTTTTTTAGTCAAGTCATCAAATTGGTTTTAGTTATTATTATTTATTTATTTGTTTTAGATTAGGAGAATTCCCTTGCTTATTGAGTATGACATTAAACTATAAAAACATACTGGGTGTTAACGTGTAATTATATTTTAAACAACAAAATTAGTATGACGGTACGAGTACTATGATTCTTACCATTATATGTAAAAATGTATAGACCAAAGTAATAACCATTTGTTTAATTATGTGATAGTCTATGAATAATATGGACAATTTAAAGAGTTACGAGCGTATGCATGATCATTTTTTGTGTATTTGTGTTGTGCACAATATTTTGTGCATGCCACCTTATTAGTTTTGTGATATAACCATCAATATTCAATATACAGTACTTGGACCCTTTTTTTTTTTTTTTTAAACGGGCGAATGTACTAAGGAGTTTAATAAGGGGGAAGTGAAAATTGGTAAAAGCTAAAACTCTATATAAGCTAATTGAAAAAAAGTTCATTTAGTGGAATAAGAAATTAATTGGGGTATAAGTATCATTTCACCATAAGAATTGTATAAGCTAATTGAAAAAAGTTCATTTAGCAGAATAAGCTCTTAAAATAAAATTCACATCAAACACCTTGAATTAACTTACTACATATATAATAGTCAATAAGCTAATATTAGTCAAATAAGCTAATTACCAAACACAACCATAGTCCCAAAGAGCTTAATCACAATCATAATCATGATAAAACAAAACATCAAAACACATTAGTGACGCATTCAAATTTGGAATCTGAAAGAATCAAAAACATTGGCGAAAGAGCGGGTATTAGGTAGTGCCGTAGTGGTAATGTTCATGGATATTGACACAATTATTTGACTTAGGCCCTTTAACTGCTTATGATTTATTAAACGCTAATACAACTACACTTGCAAATCCTTAGCACAACAAAGAGAAAAATATCTACTAATCAAATTCAATCCTATGCAAGCAAGTGGGAGTATATAATTTGATAGAGACACTGAACACTTCATGATCGCTACCAACCCGGTTCGAAAGGCGGTTTTAGATACATTCATATAGAGATAGGGACCCTGCAGTAGTGGCTCTATGATCCAATGGATCTTGTAAGAAAAATCAAAAGAGACTAGCAACTCAAGAAAAATGGTGACAGATAATAATAATTTAACTAAGACCAAATCTGAGTCAGACCATTATCCTAGGATTATCACTCTATTATATTGTGCAAATACGTATCTTCAACGCTAACGAATTAAAAATAACAGGTACGGCAAGGAAATGATATGCAACTTGGTTTTCATTAAGAGTACAGTAGATAATTTATAGCAATTTGAAGGAAAAAAAAACGAGGTCACTACAATATGCTGTACTTTTAATTAAAAAGGCGGTGTGTAATGGCACGATGTCAACGCTAATCACATGTAGACTAGCTCTATAAAACATGGGATACAAAGAAAGAAGAAGCAAGCAAATAAATCTTACCAAAAGTGGAACAAGCAATGTCTACCATTGTTGGAAAGTTTGAGGCACATGTTTCAAACCTGTAGTGAAACTATGCATACCATGATACCAATACCATGCAGGACAGCAAGAATATCAGAGTTTAGCAGAAGTTTCATATTCTTCAGCTAACTAAAGTTCTACAATATCCCTACATTTCATTCTTCATCAACCTCAAAATTAAAGTCTTCTCCTCCCTATGCCTTCATATTGCTTTGGCATAATAAAGCGAGTCTGCGAGTGATAGACAACTCCTACTTCAGTCTTCTAGGTACATTGAAGACGAGATCAATCCGTAACATGTTTTGATTTCCAATGAATGTCAGCATGATAAAGGAACAAATGGGCTTGCTATTTTTTCACCCATTATTAATCCTTCTCTTTTTCACATCTTTATTCTTCCTCTATAAATGGCTCGGTTTCAATGCATCCATGAGAAGAAACTTACCCCCATCTCCCCCAAAGCTGCCAATACTGGGGAACCTTCACCAACTCGGCATGTACCCTCACTGTACACTTCAATCCCTGTCTCGGCAATATGGCGAGCTTATGTTGCTTCACCTTGGAAGCAAGCCAACTCTTGTTGTATCATCTGCAAATGCTGCTCGAGAAATCATAAAAATAAATGACATCAAATTCTCTAACAGACCTCAGTCAATAATCAGCAAAAGGCTAATATATAACAGACAAAATGTGGCTGGAGCTCCTTATGGAGAATACTGGAGACAGATGAAAAGTATATGCGTGCTCCAGCTTTTGAGTAACAAAAGAGTTCGATCCTTCCAGAATGTGAGAGCAGAAGAAGTTGCCCTAACAATAGAAAAGATCAAAAAGTCGACATCAGCTGTGAATTTGAGTGAAATATTTATGACATTTACAAATGACGTGATATGCAGGGTGGCCTTCGGGAGAAAATACAGTGGAGAGGAAGATGGTGCCAAGTTCAAGGAATTGTTGAAAGAGTTTGTGAAGCTTCTAGGTACATTTACGGTGAGTAATTTTATACCCTGGCTGGCTTGGATTGATCAACTGAATGGGTTGCACAGTAAGGTGAACAAACTTGCCATAGAGTTCGATGAGTTTCTTGAGGTAATAGTTGAAGAGCATATGGATCGACAAGACAAGGAAAGAAATGGTGCAGCAAGTGAGAAAGAAAGGGTGAAAGATTTTGTGGACGTTCTACTCCAGGTTCAAATGGACAACACAGCTGGTTTTCCTATCAATAAAGACAGCATCAAAGCTCTCATATTGGTATGTCTTCCTTGTCCCTAACTACTGAATCTGTCTACTGAATACTGATATCCAAATTTGCTTCGGTGAGCTTTCAAACAAATATGAAACATTACCTACTCTTGGATTATAGCAACATATCAAATAGCACAACACAATACTTGCATTAATCTAGAAAACAACCAGACAATTTTGGCCATGCACAAACAAACAAATCCTCAAAATTTACTAATTTCATCATCTGCAATTCAGTAAACTAATTTTAATTAACCATGGAAACTTAAACATATACACAGCTCCCTGGTAATAGAGAATTTCGTTTTAATCTTATCGTCCAGGCAGTTCATAGTAGACTTCGTATAGAATTTCTAGATGGAAAGAGTCAACAAAAATGTTTTCAATCCAAAGGTTACACAGCTTTAATAGCTAAGTCAAACCTCACAATAGCCCTAGTTTCTTACCGTGTCTCATATTATGGTTCAATGATCAAGATTCAGCACATAAAATCATGCAGTCCACCAACTTCCACTTAAATATTTTAAATAAAATTTGAAAGCATCAACACTTCCTACAGCTGGAAGGTTTTGACAAACTGTCATATCAAATCCAGAAGATGCCAAGTTAATTGGCTGTACATAACCATCAATCATATGAATAGACATCTTTGGACTTGAGTACTGCATATTTATTCTACTTAATGCAGGACATGTTTGCTGGTGGAACTGATACAACATATACTGTCTTAGAATGGGCAATGACAGAGCTTCTAAGGCATCCTACAGTAATGAAAAGACTGCAAGAAGAAGTGAGAGATATTACCAGGGAACACGCAGATGTATCTGAAAAAGATCTGGGAAAAATGCAGTACTTGAAAACAGTGATCAAGGAGACACTTCGACTACATCCACCAATTCCATTGCTGGTGCCTCGTGAATCAACTCAAGATGTCAAAATTAATGGCTATGACATTGCTGCTGGGACAAGAGTCATAACCAATGCTTGGGCAATTCATCGCGATCCAGCAACATGGGAAGATCCTGAGGAGTTCCATCCAGAAAGGTTCTTGAATTCTTCAATAGATTTCAAAGGGCAAGACTATGAACTAATTCCATTTGGGTCCGGCAGGAGAGGCTGTCCAGGGATCTTATATGCCATTGCCAACATTGAGCTCATTCTAGCAAGTCTCTTAAGTAAGTTCAACTGGGCTTTGCCTAGGGAAGAAAACATTGAGACTTTGAATATGAGACAACGTACTGGACTCACAATCCACAGGGAAGTTCCTCTTTTTGCTGTTGCAACTTCTCATACTTGGCAATCTGAGAAATTAGGATGATAAATTGGTGGAAAAGCAAATAGATTCATTTGACACGGTATAAATAATAATAGAAGACATCTCACATCAGCACATGTCTTGTTATTATTGTTAAATGAAGTAATAAACTAATAACTATAAAAGAATGAGCTATGCTGCCTATAAGCCTATTAGACACCAGTGTGTGATGGGAAGGCTCACTGAAGTCATTTCTGTGTAAAACTAAAGACTAATATTGAACCTTGTGAAGATGTTAAATTTTCAAAAACAAATTAGAAAAGAAAAAAGGAAAAAAAAAAAAAAAAAGGCTGCTAGCACAAGGGAAAAGCAGTCGACTGTTGACTGATAATGATAAGGGACAGACAATCATTTCCCAGCAAACTCTAGGCTGTGAATTAATTGGTGCTGAATACCATTTACCCCCTTAAGTTCACACAGTCTATACATACCCCCTCTTATCATCGAGTCCTTAGCTGATTATGTTAAGTTAGTTATTAGTCCGTTAGTCATCTCGCCTAGTCTATTTTATTTAACAGCATAACCCCCAAATCCAAAGTTTCTCCAAGCTAATTTACTATTGGATTTCATTTAAGGTGTCTAGCAAGCCATTCTCTGGGATTTCAACCTTTACTAGCCCCTATACTTGCTATTTGGTTAAGGTTAAGTAATTGATAAAGGAGCTTGCTAATGACCATACTTCTTGTCACTAAATGATGTTGAAATGCGTTGTTGAAGACAGAGAAAGTTCCTTGGTTTATAATGCAATATAAAGATTAAATATAAACAAACACATAAGTAGTATTATTCAACAGCGACATTTTGTGAAATGCATGAGATGGAATCAAACATAAAATAAGTTACAGACAGAAAATGACCCTGGTGACACAGAAAGACCAAATTTCACAAGTTAGTAATGAGTGAAATGGATGACAACTACAGATGAATTGGTGATAGAGTGATAGACTAAGTACCTCAACCGAACCACTTCAGGAAATACTTGTCACTCTAAAGTTTTAACAAACAGCATTCAAGTGCTCCGTAATATCTTGCCTTTCTAATAACATCAACGTATAATACTTGATTAATTATTTGCTTATCACTTCAGGATACCACCGGTCACTTTAAACTTACAAGTATATATTGTTCCATAGTACTTGCCATTTTTAACGCAATAATACTCTACATGGTTCCTTCATCGGTTCATCCATGTACATCAACCTCAAATTACAAGTATCTAAGAAGAGATGGAGTTACCCAATCAGATCTTCCATCAATTTCTTTCTCCTATTTTTTTTTTTTTTTTTCTCTATCTCACACCACACCAATAATAAGCCTAGTAAAGGAATAGCCTTTAAATACAGGGCACCACCTTAATGCATTATGCAAACCCTACTGACTGAAAATTCCAACAACAGATATAAATCCACTAATGACGGGAGGTTTAAAATGTACAGTCATAACCCTAAATCCCCCATTAGTCGAGGTTGATTGAAAATAGTGCAAAAGGTCCCTAGTAAACAAACTTCCAAAAGGGGTAACAAGGGATGTTGTAACAGTAATACTAATGATGCACAGCAGCCAGACATTTTCAAAACTCCAAAAGGGAGTTTACTGGACAACAATTGAACAGCCATTAGTATGTAGGTCAGAATAAAATAAGGAACATTTTGCTTTTTGCTGATTAGTATGAATGTATGATCAAGTGTTTCCTGAATATTGTTGCAAATACCCACAAGTTCCCTACTTCCCTGAACAATATACTTATGCTTATGCCTGAAGGAATTGCAAATTGGCAGCCTACATCAGGACGACAACAAAACCAAAACCTTATTCCAAATTGGATAGGATTGGCTAATTTTAACACAAAACAAACTATCTCTTGTCAACCCAATTGAACAACCGTATATTCTCTTCCTCCATTTGCTTCTATCCATTGCTACTTGCACTTGCAAACCCAATTTTTCCACATCATTGTTAACTCCCTCCATCTAAACTATCTAGGGTATCTCTCGGCGTCTTGTGAAAATTCCATCACCGCAACCCTCCACCATACATACATGATGCATTTTCAAGCCAATGCCACACATTCCGATACCAACGTAGTCGATTCACCCTTATCTTATTTCCAATATCCTCAACACCTACTTTCCTCCGAATATATACATTCTTAATTCTATCCCTCAAGGTGTTCCTAGACATTCATCTCAACATTTTGCTACACTCATCTTCTTTAAAGAAAAGTGGAAAACAATGATATTAGAGTAGATAGCCAAAGTGTGTTATCAAACACCCAACATCCAAAAGCCAATAATACATCTAAGCGATCCAATTGACGAGACCCAACAATTCCAAATTTAAAAGACGGAGAAACCCCAGTTGTAATTAGGCATCAAAGATACCAAATTATGACAAAATGCACCAAAATAAACAGAATATCAATAAAATTCAACAGTATACAAAATACCCAATAATCAAAATACAATAAAATGCACAGCAATTGAAATCCCATAACAAAAAATTCAGATTTCATTATATATACTAAGATAAGAACAAACCTTGATATTGAGCAAAAATTGGAGCGAGATGAAGAGATAAGTGGGCGCTCAAGAAAAGAAATGAAGATAACTGCAATTTGATTAACACCCTTCAAATGCAACGTTTTTGGTGAATTGTCTGAATTAGCATCCGTTCAATTTAAAGTTGAAGATTATGAAAAACACCAACCTCCCCTAAAATGCTCTTCATTTCCTTCTCTTCTTGTATGTTTTCCTTTTGTTCTTCACTTTGGGTAATTTTTCTTGGGATTGTTTTTGAGTTTTACGTTTTACAGGTTCTTTGAGCTTTTGCTTTGTAAAAGCTGTTGAGTAGTGGAGTTTTACGCTTTTGGTGCGGTTGTTTTGGTATTTCTGCTCTTAGGCTAATGGTTCACATATATGGAATAATTGAACTAAATTGATTGAAGCTGAATTGAACAAAATTGAATTGAACTGAACTTATTAGAGCTGAACTGAACTTATTAGAGCTAAACTGAACTAAACTTATTAGAGCTGAACTGAATTGAGCTAAAATGAATATTTTATGAGAGGGGGAAATTAAGAACTGGACTGAACTAATTGGAGCTGAGGTCAACTGAAATGAAATGAAATTAAGTAAATGTGAACAGATCTTTAATTTCTTTTTGGGGTTGTAAGGTGGGTTTTTTTCACCTTATTTTCATTTAATAAGTTCAATTACATTCAAATAAGTTGAGTTTAAGAAAAAATAAATTTAGATAAATTCAATTCATGAAAAATAAATTTGGAAAAGGGTGGCCTAAGTGTAAATTACAACTAAAAATAAGTTTTAATAAGTTCAGATAAGTCAAAAATAAATGACAATCAAGTGAATAAAGTATAGAACACAACCTTATTATGGAATTATTTTGTCTTTCATTCTTTTCATCTTTGGGATGATTTTAATGGTGGTAGTATTTCGCCTTCATGCTTGTATAAAGACTTAAACCCAAGCCTTTTTACACAAACTCAATATATTACCCACTATTCAAAGCTAATCTAATGTTATTAATTGCGTTAAAATTGTATTCAACAAATAAAATTACAACTTTATCTACATAAATCATTTTTTTAAAAAAATTAATTTTTGGTTGGGCCGATACCACCCAAGTCCCTTAATAATCCACTCCTATAAGGAAACATGAGGAAATTTGTAAAGGAACGGCCCCACCATCAGATTTTGCCTCATGCACCTCTCTAAACAACAAGATTTTGGGGTTTATATTATTGTCCGCACTTCAATCGTCGTTTTGGAGGTGCGCCGAGCAAAAAAAATAATTACATATGGCGCATTAGCAAGCCTAGTTAGGCGCTGACACACGCCCTTGTCAGAGCTGTGACAAATAATTAAATAGCATTGTTTTTGCAACTGCTAATTTAAAAAAAAAAAAAAAAAAAAAAAAACGCAACGGCTAATTGTTTTAAACCTAATTTTTTTTGTTTTTAATTTTTTTTAGGTCATAATTTTTATTTCTTTATAAATAGACTTCCCTTTTGATATACGTTGGTATACTCCTTAGCCAACAGATGAACTTAATTTGCCAATTCTCATAGCATGTCCTGCTAAATGTGTGTTTTGGGTTGCAAGACTTCACTCTAAATGACTTATGTGTGGCTCACTGGCTCATCCAAAAAAACCATACAACTTTCATGAGCAACAAAACTTGCATGGTGCCTCCATTTTATTCGATCTAGTCTAATCCACCTAATACTATATCCAGTATAAATTGTGTGTTTGTTCGCCATCTCTTTGAACATTTCTGGAGAAAGAAATTTAAGCCATTATATTCCAGCTAGATAACTTCTTGAAGTTGCAATTCACGTCAACTAATGACATTTCTGCCTAAGGATTGAGTTGTAGTTTTTTTTTTTGGAGCAAATAGTTCATGGGAGGAAGATGGCGGAAACTTAAAATAAGTTTTTCAAATTCTACACCATTTTTCACTTTTTCATGGGTTGTTCTTTTGGGCTTGTCTAGAAAGGGTGTCATTTTAAGCTATGGGTTCATTTTGGGTGGTGGGGTGTGACTGGGGTCACAAGTATTATGGACCGAACTTGCAAGTTCATAAATGACTTTATTAGGTTCAATTCATCTACACCATGAACTAAATACGACTCAATCATTCTATAATTAATTCCATTATCTGAACCTACTTTACTCTGATACTTCTTTATCCTTAAATACCATTAGGTGGTCACTCTTCAAGTCCATCTAGGCAAAAGATAGTAAAAAGACTAAAAACTACATTGATTATTATATTTAATTCTTACTTCTTTAACCCTTTCATCAATGAGCTCAATGTAAATCATGTAGTCAATGTCAACATTATCCTAATAATGTGTACAACCACCAACATACTCCCAATTTTCAAAAGTGGGCCACCAATGTATAATTTGTCTAAACAACACATCAATTTCAACAAATAATCAGATTGCATTTATTCAAAGGTAAAAATCGGGTTTCAAAAT